CCTTGAGGTGCATCTCAGTCTCTCTCTTTTGCCTGCAGCTGTATAAGCGTTTTCAATTGCTGGAGGGGCCCCCTGAGACGATGGGCCGGGGCCGAGACTGGAACGTTGACTTGATCCCCAAATTCCTCATGGCCAACGGTGAGGGAGATGAAGGAGGTATTATGGGGGGTGATTGGGATGACCAGAGGAGGGTCAGACTCCAGAGAAGGGCAGCCAGACCAGGTAGAGCTTCTGGAGTGAGCCACGCTCACGCTGTTGCCTTGCCCACACCACCCCGCAGGACAGCTGGTGAAGATGCTACTGTATACAGAGGTGACACGCTATCTGGACTTCAAGGTGGTGGAGGGCAGCTTTGTCTACAAGGGGGGCAAGATCTACAAAGTACCATCCACCGAGACTGAAGCCTTGGCTTCTAGTGAGTGCGGGTCCCCTGAGCCAGGGAATCGTGGGGCAGGGCCGCTGTCCAGAGCAGGGCGCCCCTTGCCCAAGGTCACGTTCCTCACACCGTACCAGAAGCCCCTTGCTCTGTCATCCCTCTGTGCCCTGGGCCATGCCTCCCACTGGTTGCCAGGAGGGGAGTCCGCGTGCGGAAGGGATGTGGAGTCCTTGACAGACTCCAGGTTTTGACAGGGGCTCCACCTGATCAGTGAAACGTCCCCAAGTGTTGGAGCCGGGAGGGCCCTCAGAGCCGTCCAGCCCGACTCACTCTTCGTACATATGGGGAAACTGAGGCCAAGAAGCACAGAGGGGGTTCATCTGAGGTCACGTGGGGGTCAGCAAGAGAACTCAGCTGGGAGCCAGGGTGCGCACTTGCTCCGCCTGCTTGGTGGGATGGAGAGTTTCATTGTCTGTGGTGCAATGATTGTTTTCACGTTGCCCGCGCAGATCTGATGGGCATGTTTGAGAAACGGCGCTTCCGTAAGTTCCTGGTGTTTGTGGCAAACTTTGATGAGAATGACGCCAAGACCTTCGAGGGCGTTGACCCCCAGAACACCAGCATGCGTGACGTCTACCGGAAGTTTGACTTGGGCCAGGATGTCATCGACTTCACTGGCCATGCCCTGGCGCTCTACCGCACCGATGAGTGAGGGGAAACTGGCATGGCAGACCACCCCTCATCCGGCCCTCACCCTGCCCTACCTGCTCCTGCCTGCTGTTCTCTTGGCCCACGCCTCTCGTACTCAGCCTCGTGCTCGCTTGCCTGTCGCCTTTTCTGTCCCTTCCCTACAGTTGACCCGTGGGCTTCCCCAGGCCATTGAGGGTGGTGGGAAGGCTGGCCTGGTGCCTGGGTGGGGTGAGCTGGGGTTCCTGTTGTTGGAGCCTCTTCTGAACCCATCCCCCCAGCTACCTGGACCAGCCCTGTCTTGAGACCATCAACCGCATCAAGTTGTACAGCGAGTCCCTGGCCCGGTATGGCAAGAGCCCGTATCTGTACCCACTCTATGGCCTTGGCGAGCTGCCCCAGGGCTTTGCCAGGTAAGGGTGTGGCTTCGGTCGGTTGGCGGTCCCAAGAAGGACTGAGGCCAACGATGGAAACGGCCCCCTTGGGTACCTCCACAGCGTTTTGTACTTTCCCACTGTGGTCCTACTTCATTTCACACCATCCTTGGGTGGCGACACCACAGTGGGGTATTGACGTGCAGAGTTGAAGAAGCACAAATGGGGGCTTGCTTGGCTCCTGGCCTGAGTCAGGCAGCGCTAGGACTGGGCACGGGGCCTGGAAACCTCGAGTCGGATTCTCCAGAGCCCTTCGTTCTGTTTCCCAGAACATTTCCGTGAGGAGCCACCCTCACGCTAGCCCTTCGCCGAACATTCTGGCGATAAGCTCCGGAGAGGAAGGACCACTCCAGGTTCAGTCCTGAGTGTGTGGCTGTGACAGAGTTGGGAAGGGCCGCCAGGTCTCCTGAGCTCTGCCTGCCTGGGGCCGCCTTCTCTGCACCCTCGTGCTGGTAGGGGCAGGTGGCGCAGTATCACTGGTCCCCGTTTGTCCTGGGAGGGCGCCCTCACCATCACTCTCCCCACCGCAGGTTGAGTGCCATCTACGGGGGGACCTACATGCTGAACAAACCCGTGGATGACATCATCATGGAGAACGGCAAGGTGGTGGGCGTGAAGTCCGAGGGAGAGGTGAGCCGTCCCCGCCGCGCAGGCACGTTGGTCTGGGCGGGGTTCGCCCCCTCCTTAGAGGTGCTCTTCCCAGTGACCCTGGCTCTGCTGGGTCTGCTGCTGCTCGGCTCTGAGGGCCTCGGGCTGGGGACCGGGGCTCCAGAAGAAGACTACGTAGCCGATCCTGTTGGCAGCCGTCTGCGTATCTAGGGCCCCCCTCCCCAAGGCGCAGGAGGAAGCTGCACGTTGTGGGAGTGTCCTGCCTGCCGGAGCTGCCAGCCCTCATCGTGAGTCCAGGCCCTGAAACCCCGAGGGGTGTGATTAGATAGGGACGAGGCCTTTTGGTGTTTTCACAGGTGGCCCGCTGCAAGCAGCTGATCTGTGACCCCAGCTACGTCCCAGACCGCGTGCGGAAGGCTGGCCAGGTTATCCGTATCATCTGTGTCCTCAGCCACCCCATCAAGAACACCAACGATGCCAACTCCTGCCAGGTCATCATCCCCCAGAACCAGGTCAACAGGAAGTCAGGTAGGGCCGGAGGAAGTCACGTGTTCTCTCCGCTGTGGCTCATGCCTTTCCCCTCAGCCTGGGGGCTGGCTCCCTGCCAGATCCCGCCATGGGAGAACAGGGACCCACACTGCAGTCCCCATGACCTGAGGTCCAAGGCATTGGCTGGTTTGGCCTCTTCTCCTCCGTGAGGGTGGTAGCTTGGATGCTGCCCGCTCTGCAGGGCTGGGGAGGGTGGGCGGGCCAAAATTGAGCTTGGCCCCCCACGTGCCCGTGTTAACCGAGCCCTTCCTGTGGACAGACATCTACGTGTGCATGATCTCCTACGCACACAACGTGGCCGCGCAGGGCAAGTACATTGCCATCGCCAGCACCACGGTGGAGACCGCAGAGCCCGAAAAGGAGGTTGAGCCGGCCCTGGAGCTGCTGGAGCCCATTGACCAGAAGTGAGGGGCTGGGGGGCTGGGGCGGAAGCTGGGGGGGGGGGAAGGGAGCCAAGGAGCCGGAGGGTGGGCATCAGGGAGGGCATGGCTGGTTGTGAGACCTGTCTCGTCCCTTCCATCTGCCCGTCAGGTTTGTGGCCATCAGTGACTTGTACGAGCCCATCGACGATGGTTCTGAGAGCCAGGTAAGCAGCCTGTCCCGGCCCCGGCTCCTGGCTGCCCGCCCAGGACCCCTGCCCAGCTCACCTCGGGCCCCGGGCGCTGGCTGTTTCCAGGTGTTCTGTTCCTGCTCCTATGATGCCACTACACACTTTGAGACAACCTGCAACGACATCAAAGACATCTACAAGCGCATGGCAGGCTCCGCTTTTGACTTTGAGAACATGAAGCGCAAACAGAACGATGTCTTTGGAGAAGCTGACCAGTGATTGCCGACCCCGGCCCCAGCCCCTGGTGCCCTCTGCCCCAACCTGAGCCTGTTCTCCTCAAGGGCTGGGGAGATGGGCGTGGCTGGGCACCCCCGTTTCCAGCATCTTCTGCTTCCCCCACCACATTCCTGTCATCCACCTCATTGATTCACTGACCAAATCCTTAACCTTAGTGATGGTTTGGGAGATGGGGGGGGGGGTTGGTTAGTGTACTCTTTCTTGGCCCTTCCTTATCCTGGGAGAAGGGGGTTCCTCTCCTTGTGTGTGTCTCTCTCCCCACCCCTAATTCTTCTGCTCTGTTCGGGAGGAACGTGGAGGAAAAGCTGACTTCTGCCCCCACCGCTCTTACCCCTGCTCTAGTGGCCTTTGGAGATGCCCCCTGCCTCCCCCCACCAGCTCTTGTGTGTTGGAGAGAAGGGGCCCTCCCAGCACAAAGTTGCAGTCCTTTCCCTACCCGACCCCCGTAATTTATTCTAATTTATTAACTTCGGCCCACCCTGTGTGAGAAGGGAGCACTGTGCCCTGCAGCCTCACGGTGCGGCCTGGGGCTGTGGAGCAGCTACCCTGGCCTGGCCTTCCTAACCCTGGCGACCCTGGTGCAGCCTGGGAAGGAAGAGGGCTTGGGTGTGGCCCCATTGGAGGTTGATTTGGTTTTTGTTTCTTGTCTTTGTGTCTGCTGGTACTTGCTGAGAGAGAAAAGACATGTGAGCAAAGCAGAAGGAGGTGGGAAAATGGATCCAAACCCCGTGTGCCCTGCCCTATTCCTTCCCCTTAGTGGTGGGAAACCCTTATCTTGCAAAGTGAATGTGTCCCCTTCCCCAACCTCTAGTGTATTTCACAGAAAACAAAACCTCCCAATAAAACTGTGTTGAAACCTGAGCCCAGATCGTTCGTTTTATTTCCCCAAAGCTGCATCTGGGGCGGGGCCTTGGCTCCCTGGGCTGTCCTGCTTTCCTACCCAGGCTTGGGACTGCGTGGGGCTTAGCTTTGCTCCTGATGGCTGTTAAGAGGTGACTCCATCAGGAAGGAAACAGGTCACATCACCCTGCCCAAGGGGTCAATGTGAGAGGAATCGAGGGAGAGGGGTCTGGCCTGGGGTGGGGGCTGAGGTGGAGGAAGCAGAAGCGCAGGCCCAGCCTCATGGCCTGGGGAAACGCGGGGCTGGGGCCCAGTCTTGGGAGGGGAGTCAAAGCCAAGGAAGCAGGGGGAACCAGGACGCCCTCAGGCAGGGAGGCAGCGAGGGGATGGGGATCTGCCCTTAGACTGAGATCAACATCGAGGAAGTGAGGGGCCCGGAGGCCCAGCCTTGGGGTCAACAGAGGGAAGCAGGACTGGGAACCCAGCCTCGTGCCGGCGGTTATTGTTGAGGAACTGATGGGGAACCTATAAAGAGAGGGACCGCGGCGTCCAGCTTCCGGCGGCCGGCGGGGCGGGGCCGCTAGCGGGGCGGAGCTGGGCGGCACGCAGTCACGTGCCGGGGGCGGGGCGCGGTGGCAGCGAGTTCCCCGGTAGCGACGTCACGGCGCTGGGGTCAGTTGACTGCACGGCCGCCTCCACAGCCGTTGCAGCCCGTGAGACTCGGCCGGACCGCTGTCGCTGTCGCCGCCGCCATGGCTCAGTACAAGGGTGCCGCGAGCGAGGCGGGCCGCGCCATGCACCTGATGAAGAAGCGGGAGAAGCAGCGCGAGCAGATGGAGCAGATGAAGCAGAGAATCGCGGAGGTGCGGGCCGGGCCGGGGCGCCTCGGCGCATGCGCGCGGCCCGCCGCCCGTGCTCTGCTCCCGCCGCCCCGGGGTCGCGCGGGGCCCCGGGGAGCGGGAGCAGAGCGCGGGCAGCGAGTGGGGGTGGGACCCTTGCTCGCAGATCTCTAGCAAGGGGCGGAAATGAGCCGGCGACAGTCTGCTCATCTGTAAAATGGGCGCAGAAGGCTGAGAGGAGGTGGGCTGTGACAAGCCTCCAGCAGGAAGGAGCCACACTCAATGGTTACATTTTTGGCATTGGGGCGATCCTCGAGGGCACAGAGCATTCTTTCTCTGGCCCTTCAGCCCTGAGAGTCAGGCCCAGATCCAATGGATATCAGGAAGGGTGGGCCCCAGCCAATCCACCGGACTCATTCTGGAGCCCTTTTCATGGGACAGAGGCAGGCAGGAAGGTCTGGGGTGCTCGCGGTTCACTAAGGGCTTCAGTGAGTGGCCAATGGCAGTGGGCCGTCAGGGAGGAAGGAGCCCTCCACTTAGGCCTTTGGGGGAGAGTCGGTGGAAGAGCAGGGACTCGGCGCAAGGGGAGGGCAGGCCTTAGGTACTGTGGCAGCCGGGCCCAAGGAAGTGGCTGCATGCTGAGGCCCGGTGCTGCCTCGGTTTACACTTGTGCCCCAGCCCCACTGTCTCAGTACGAACTCAGTGGCGGGACGGAGGTACATTTCTCTGCTGGCCACCTCCTGTGGAGGCTGCTGGCCAGAGAGGGACCTACTTGGTACCAAGTGGGATGGGACTGGGCTGGAGTGAGGAGGCCTCGTGGGAAGCTGTTGGCAACATCTGGGGCCAGGAGGGAGCAGCATTGCTCGGTGAGGGACCAGGCCGCCAGCCACTCTCTGCTCCCTCCTAGCACTCCTTGCCTTGGGTCTCCAGAGCTTCAGCTTAAGAGCTGGGCGTGAAGAACACCAACCACTGAGTGAGCTCTGGTTCCCAGTGGGACCTGTGGAGGGCCCGGAGCAGCACAGATGGCACGGGGAAACAACCCCACTTGGTTCCCTCGGCACTGGAAGAGCCTCTCACAGCCCCGTGGAACCTTCCATCAGTCAAGGGAAGGGGACATGTCTTTCCCAAGGTCACATCATAGTGAGTCTAGGGACACACCTGGGACTAGAACCCAGGTCCCCACTTGCATGGTGGGGTGGCAGGTGGCCCTCACTGCTGCTTTCCCTCCCGGACAGGAGAACATAATGAAATCCAACATTGACAAGAAGTTTTCTGCGCACTATGACGCTGTGGAGGCGGAGCTCAAGTCCAGCACCGTGGGTGAGCAAAGCGCTTGTGTCCCCACTCCCGGGCTGAGGCCGGCTGCATGGCTGACTCTGGGTGACCGTCTCTTGCCCCCGCGTCTCCTCACCTCGCAGGTCTTGTGACCCTGAACGACATGAAGGCTAAGCAGGAGGCCCTGGTGAAGGAGCGGGAGAAGCAGCTGGCCAAGAAGGAGCAGTCGAAGGAGCTGCAGCTGTGGGTCGTCTCCTCCCAGCCAGCGGCCTTCCCCTCTGGATGGAGCTCGTGCTTGGGGGCGGGTCAGGCTGGTCCTGCACGTGGAAGGGGAGGGGGGACCCTTTTTCATCATCAGAGCCCTGCCTGCCCGTGAACTTGAAGTGCCCCGGGCCAGCAGGACTCCTCTGGGCCTGCGCGGAGTGGGACCCGCACTGAGCACACAGGTGGCTCTGGGTCGGGTAAGGGGCCTCGGGGGGTGGGAACATGCGTGACGGCCACCCATGCCTCGGCAGGAAGCTGGAGAAGCTGCGAGAGAAGGAGCGCAAGAAGGAGGCCAAGCGGAAGATCTCCAGCCTGTCCTTCACCCTGGAGGAAGAGGACGAGGCAGGCGACGAGGAGGAGGAGGCGACCATGGACGATGATGAGCTGGAGAGGGAAGGTGGGGGCAGGTCCCGCTGGCAGAGCTCTGTCCTGGCGTCCAGCTCGCAAGTGAAGAAGCACCTCTGCCAACAGCCTTGACTGCCCGCCGCATTCGGGGTCCCGGACCTCACAAGTTGGGGCAGGAGGGAAAGGGCCAAGTCTTCACCGTGGCAAAGTTGAGTGGGGGGCTCGCTTTTGGTGGCCGATTGAGTGGGAACCAGCTGTGCGGTCCCTGGGCAGCTGTGTGGGGCTCGTGTGGCTGGGCACCAAACTTAATTCTGTTTGAATAATTTCAGTATAAATTGACCCAACCGCAGAAACTAAGCGGCTGCTCACTGGACAGTGCAGGCTTTGCCCAAGGGAACAAGGGGCCACAGGAACGACTCAGGAAAGCTGAGGTCACCATGGGGCCCCTGTGTGCTGGGCACCCGCTCACGGCCGGGCCAGGGCCGAGGCAGACGGACAGAAGCTGGGTGCCGTCCCTGTCCTGGTGGGAGACACACGGGGAAGCGTGTGTCTCGCTGGGGCCAAGGGAGGGGGGAAAATTGAGTTGGGCCTTCAGGGTGAGGGGAATCTCATTAGCACCCAGAGAGAGGCGGGTGGAGAAGCATGTAGAGTCAAGAGATGAGTGTGCCCAGAAGCAGAGCGGGCAGAAGTGGACACATGTGAGGACCGGGGAGGATGCAGCACAGGCCTGGTCTGGGTTAGAAAGCGTGATGGCCAGGATGTGGTGGCCTGGGATCCGTGTTGGGGAACCAAGGCAGGGGATGGCACTGGGACAGCTTTGAGGGGAGCGGCCAGTGCTGTCAGGAGGAAGAGCCTGCCCGCCCCCCCGGGGGGAAACCCCTGGGGCAGTCTCACTACTGTTGAGTAACATTTGCTGTGTCTAAAATATTCCCACGGGCAGGCCAGTTGCGTTTGGTGTGAGCTGCCCATCTGTATGGCAGAGGCCGCCTTTGGGACAGCACGGGCCTGGGGGGAGGCTTTCAACCTCACTGTGTGTCACTGGGGCTTTGTGGGTGCTTCCCTCCCCCTGGAGGTTTGGTTTCCGGGGCCCGGCCATGGGTAGTTGGTGTGGAATTTTTGTGACTTGTCCAGGCGCTGGAACCCCTGCCCTGGAGTATGGGCTTGTCTTCTAGGTCGGCGGTTCTCAAAGAGTGCTCCAGGGACCCCTGGGGGTCTCCGAGACCCTTTCGAGAGGTCTGCGAGGTCAAAACCATTTTCATAATTGTGCTAAGACGTTCTTGGCCTTTTGCACTCTTGTTCTTTCATGAGCGTGCAGTGGATTTTTCCAGAGGTCACGTGACATGGTATGCCGTCCTCCCTCCGACAGCTGATAGAATGCATGCTTTCATGTTCTCGAGTCTTTGGCACTTCCCAGATTTAATTTTCAATTTGGTGACTGTCGATGGTTACAACTCCCAGGGACAAGAGCTCTCTGGGGTCCTTGGTGACTTGTAAGACTGTCCAGGGCGCCGAGACCAGCAAGTTAAAGAATCACTGTTCTCGTTCATTTGTGCCCTAATTGGGGAAAGTGAGTTGCAGAGTCCAAGGTGTCAGGCCTGGCCTGAGCCCAAGTGGGGCCTCTCCTTCCCTCCTCCCCGCGGGTTCTGATAGTAGCAACCATAGGACTTTGGGCTTCAGCTTCGTCTCCTGGTAAAAAGGAATGTCGTAACCTTTTGAGGCTGTCGTGAAAAGTGGATGAGACGTCAGATGTGGATGTCCTGCTCCTCTGGTGCAAAGGACCTTCTCTCCCTCTGGCACCGGCACTGAGGCCTTAAGTCCCCCGAGGCACTCCAGGTCACAGCTGATGGGGCAACAATTTGGTACCAGCCTCCTGTTCAGCTGCTGGCAGTGGAGACCAAGGTGAAGGCCCCTTGGCAAGGGCGCCTCTCATAAAGGTTTCCATAGGTGCTGTGAAGAGGGCTGTGCGTCCCGGCCAGGACAGTCCAAGAAGCCTCCAAGGAGGTTGCATTTGAGCTGAGGCCTGGGTGACAAAGGTCTGGGGTGCCCCGGAGGCAAGGGCCATCGTGCCGCTGACTCTTGTGTTTCCTTTTGCTCCAGAGATCACCACAAAGAAGAGGAAACTGGGGAAGAACCCAGATGTGGACACGAGCTTCTTGCCTGACCGAGACCGGGAGGTAAAGGCGGCCTGACCCCGGCCCTGGCGGAGGCTTTTTTGCTCAGGAAGTGGGGCCCTGCGTGCCCCCTGGGCAGCCCTGGGCCTCCCTCCTTTGCCTCTTTCTCTTCCAGGAGGAGGAGAATCGGCTCCGGGAGGAGCTGCGGCAGGAGTGGGAAGCCAAGCAGGAGAAGATCAAGAGTGAGGCTCCCGGAGCGGGATGTGCGTGGCCCGGGGCTGGGAGCCGCACCCGTGCTCCTGCCAGCACTGCTCTGGGCAGCGCCCCGAGCCCCAGGGAGCTGGCAGGGAGTGGGGACACCGGGGTCTGGAGGCCAAGCGGCAATTCTGTTTTGTAGGCGAGGAGATCGAGATCACCTTCAGTTACTGGGATGGCTCTGGGCACCGGCGTACAGTCAAGGTGACGCTGCGGGGCCTGCGCCCCATGCCCCATGCCCCTCGCCCCTCGGGCCCAGCCTCCTTTGGCCTCGGTGGGAAGGAGCTGTCAATCCCTTGGTACGGGTGGCCCCTGGGGGTTCGGGGGGAGCAGGGAGGAGGGTTCCGGGCTTCCGTCCTCCCTTCCCAGCTCCTCGGTTGGTTTCCCCGCACGGTTTCCCTCTTGCCTCTTCTTGGGTCACTCACACAGATGAAAAAGGGCAACACGATGCAGCAGTTCCTGCAGAAGGCCCTCGAGATCCTGCGCAAAGACTTCAGCGAGCTCAGGTGGGGCTACGCGGGCGTGCAACGGGGTGCACCGGAGTCTGCAGCCTCAGCCCTGGCGCTCGGGACCCCAGGTGGCAGCTGCCGCTCGCGGCACGCCGGGCGCCGTGCTCCTGAGAAGGGGGCCGTGCCCCCTTTCCCATCCCCCTTCCAGCATCGCGGGCCTCTGCCTCCTGGCTCTGGTGCCCCGGTGTCCTTGGCCACCTGCTATCTGGTCCTTTCTCCCTCAGGTCGGCAGGGGTGGAGCAGCTCATGTACATCAAGGAGGACCTAATCATACCCCACGTGAGTCCCTTCTCTGGGGGCTGCGGGGAGGGTCTCGGCCCGTGGCACACCTGGGGGCTTCGAGGGGGGCCCCGCCTGCCCTGGGTCTTCGGCTCGGGTGGGCAGGGCCGGAGCCCGGCTTGCAGGCGGCCGAGGCGGCTCACCTGCCGTCGCCTTCCTGCCCTCTGCTCGTAGCACCACAGCTTCTATGACTTCATCGTCACCAAGGCGCGAGGGAAGAGCGGTGAGTGCGCCTGGCGCCGCCCCCCGGCCGCTTGCCCGTGTCGCGGGGCGTCAGCTGATGGGGCCTGGCCTCTTGTCTCCTTGTCCCTGCAGGGCCCCTCTTCAATTTCGACGTTCACGATGACGTGCGGCTGCTCAGTGATGCCACCGTGGAGAAGGATGAGGTACGGTGGGCTGGGGCACTGCGCGGGTAGGAGGGGTCCAGCCACGTGGCCCTGAGCCCTGAGCCGCAGCGCCCGGCCCTTCTCCCGTCCTCAGTCGCACGCGGGCAAGGTGGTGCTGCGGAGCTGGTACGAGAAGAACAAGCACATCTTCCCCGCCAGCCGCTGGGAGCCCTACGACCCTGAGAAGAAGTGGGACAAGTACACGGTACAGAAGCCCTCGAGCACTGGGTGGGAGCTGGCCTGGCTGCCCGGCGGGAGGCCCGCCCGGCCCTGCTCAGCTCACCTTTCCTTCTCTGTCCCCTCGTCCTGCACCAGATCCGGTGATGTGGCAGCAGCGCAGCCCCAGCCCCTCCGGCTCCCTGCGGCGCCCTGCCTGCGGCCCCAGGATTCCAGGCGCCCGGCTCCCTGCTCCCGAGACGTGACGGGGCCTGCTCAGCCCCTGCCCCTGGTGCTGTGTTTACCGCCTTTTTCTTTTACGACAGAGATACACACGTCAGAGCTAGAGCACCTGTTGTGCGTTTTATTTTAAAGTTTTTTTTTTTTATTGAGCTAAAATTCACATAGCATAAAATTCACCGTTGTGACCATTTGAAAGTGTACCATCCAGGGGTACTTAGTACATTCATAGTGTTGTGAATCACCCCGAAAGGAGACCCCACGTCCATTAGCAGCTGACCCCCAGCCCCTCGCATCCCCTAGTTTACTTTCTGTCTGTATGGATTTGCCTGTTCTGGAAGTTTCACATAAATGGAATTATACAATATCTCTGCTCTCTGTGTCTTGCAAGAAAGCGTGTGTTTGGCAGGGGTGGGAGGGTGGGAGGGTGGGAGGGATATCTGGGATCCACTGGGGCCTCAGCAGGCCCAGCTCGTCCCCACTGCGGCACCTACATGGGTAGGAAGGGCATTCCTCCCCGTGCTTCCCGCCCAGGACTTTGGGCTCCTTTGTGTCTCCTAGCTGCCCGTTCCATAAGGGACACGGCTGTCCTGTGGCTCCCAGCCACCCTGTGTCCCTGTCACAGCATCTCTCCCCAGACTGGACACGGGAAGGCCACTGTGGATGCCCTGTGCTCACTGCTTGCCCACCCCACCCACGGCCAGCTCTGCTCAGGCTGCCCTGGGGCTGGTCGCTGTCACGGCCCCAAGGGGGGAACTTGTCTTGGGGATGTGTGCTCCTGCTTCCTGCCCCGCCTTGGCGGCCAGCTCCCCTGGTTCCCCTGCGCCCAGCTCCAGGAGGCTGAGGAAGGTAAGCTCGCCACCCCTGCTCCCCCCTTATTCCCCTTGCCTGAGACCTGGCAGAGGGGACAGGGGACAGACCCCAGCCAGCAGGGAGCGTCTCCGCTCTGGGTCCGGCCCCACCTCCCTGGCCAGTGTGCAGATCTGACGCTGGTGGTGGGCTTTGCTGGGTGCACAGGCTCTTGTGCCCTCCTCTGTGGCAGGGCCCTCTGTCCTGTTCAGCCGTGGCCTGGGGAGGCCCCTCTGGCAGCTAGGAGCTGTCACTTGGGCTTCCTTACCCTGTGTCTGGGGCGGGGCCATCCAGGGTCACTTGGAGGAGGGAGGAGGGTAGAATAGGCCTGGGCACCTGGGGCACAGCAGGGAGGGGTGGCCAGGCCTGACCCTAAGTCCTGGATGTGGGGAACAATGCTGAGGAAATCGATGGGGCTTTCTGTTGGGTTCCGGGAACCCTGCGGGGGGATCCTCTGGCCTGCGCCAACGCCCTCTTGCCCCCTTTGAGAAGCCACCAGAAGACTGCATGATTTGAGGGAGCCGCCTTTGGCCCGGCAGCTTCTGGAAAACAAGCCCCTTGAGGCCCGATCTTGGGTCCTGTCAGGGAAACAGCCCTAAGTTGCTGGGAAGAAGGGAGACGTCTGGGGTCAGGGTCAAGGGGGCAGGGAGGCAGTCAGGGGAGGAGACCCCCTTCCCTGTGGCCATTGGAGGGATGGAAAAGACACCATGGTTGGTGGGGCCCAAGGGAGGAGCCCCTTATCCTAAGAAAGGGCTGAGAAAGGGCCAGCTTTCTGCTTGGCAGTCTTGGGCTCCCTACTTCCTCACTGGAGGCCAGTGCAGGCCAGCACTCCTGCCAGGAAGGGCACTGTCGTGCTGGGGGCCCTCTCCTCGGGACCTTGAACTCATGTGAGTGTGGAGTGTAGGGGAGAGGTCCGGGGGCTGCAGAGGAAAGTTGGGGGCTGCTGGGACAGCTATTATCTGATGCTCTAGAACTACATGAGGTCACCAAGGCCAGTGAGTGCTCACCAAGGCTTCTGGGGACTAGTGTTTGCCGGGGGTGGGGGTGGGCTAGGCGGTGAGGAGAGCAGGTGTGTCGACACAGGAAGGCAGGCTGGAGGTGAGTGGGGTGGAAGGGAGGGAAGGAGAGAGGGGAAGGCGAGGAAGGGAGGAAAGGTCAGAGAGGCAGTGCCCAGAATGAGCGGGAGGGGCGGGGGCCAGCTCTTCACCCTCAGGGTCCAGTTGCCCCAACAAAGCACTCGCGTTTATTGCTTAACAATACGCCCCCCAGTAGCCTACGTGTCTCTCCAGATCTGTGCATACAGAGCCTCCTCCGTTTTAAATCTTTTTAAAACTTTTTGGCCGTGCCATGCAGCCTGCAGGATCTTAGTTCCCCAGCCAGGGATGGAACCCGTGCCCCGGAAGTGGAAGTGCCAAGTCCTAACCATTGGACGGCCAGGGAAGGCATAATTAATTTTCCAGACAGTGGCAGACTCCCCCGCCCCCGGCCCCTCCCATTTTGCAGCACCACCACCAGGTGAGAGTCCTGGTTCCCAGGCTTCGAGCACAGTGCACTGTCACTCCTCAAGGGGTGGGGGACATATGCAACCTGAGATGGCACATGTGGTCTCTAACTGTGGGATTTTGTTTTTTATTTTCAATTTTTTTCAGCTGAGGAAAAATTCACATAACATAAAAATAACCATTAGCCATTTAAAAATGCACATTTCAGTGGCATTGAGTATATCCGCAATGTTGTGCAACCATCACCTCTATCTACTCCCAGAATATTTTTATCGTCTTAAAAGGTGAGAAGAGGGCTCCCCTGGTGGCGCAGTGGTTGAGAGTCCGCCTGCCGATGCAGGGGACACGGGTTCGTGCCCTGGTCCGGGAAGATCCCACATGCTGCGGAGCAGCTGGGCCCTTGAGCCATGACCGCTGGGCGTGCGCGTCCGGAGCCTGTGCTCCACGGTGGGAGAGGCCACAGCAGTGAGAGGCCCGCGTACCGCAAAAAAAAAAAAAAAAAAAAAAAAAAAAAAAAAATAAGGTGAGAAGAAATGTCTATTGTTTTAGCTACTCAGTTTGTGGAACTTTGTTACAGCAGCCACAGGAAACTTATACGCCTTACTTAGACCACACAGAAAAATGAACTTGACATGGGTTGTAGACCTAAAAGTAAAAGCTAAAACTAAAACTATATATAAATAAAACATGGGGGAAAACCTTTGTGACCTTGGTCTATGCAAAGTTTTCTTAGACAGGAGACAAAAAACAATCATAAAAGGAAAAACTGATAAATTAGACTTCATCAAAAATCCAAACTTTTGCTCTTTAAAAGATACTATTATGAAAATGAAAAGACAAGCCACTGGCTTGGAGAAAAGAAAATATTTTTATGACAGAGGGCTTGTATCCAGGATATGTTTTGCATGCACGTGCGCACGTGTGCGCACGCACACACACACACACGTAAACTCCTGCAAATCAATAAAAATGAGACAAACATCCTAATTTTAAAAAACGGGCAAAAGGGACTTCCCTGGTGGTCCAGTGGTTAGGACTCTGTGCTTCCACCGCTAGGGGGCACAGGTTCGATCCCCGGTCAGGGAACTAAGATCCTTCATGCCCTGTGCATGTGGCCGAATGAGAAACAAAAAAACAGGCAAAAGATTTGAATACACAATGTCACAAAAGACGAATAAGAATGGCAATAGCAACACAACATTGTAAATCAATTATACTCCAATAATTTTTTTTTAAAAAACGGTAAAAAACAAGTGAAAAGATGCTCACCATCTTCATGGTGACAGCAAGCAGATGGGCAGCCACCTGGGGCTGGGCGGAGGGAACCCAGAGGGGCCTCTGGGCTGATGGAAATGGCCTGTATCTTGGCTGGAGGGTGGTTAAAAGGGGTATGTATTTGTCAAAACTCATTGAACTGTACCCTTAAAGTGGGGTCATTTATTGTCTGTAAATTATACCCCAATAAAGCTCATTTTAAAAGAAAACAGGAAAAGAAGGCAACTAATGAAACCGGTTACCTAAAGGGGTAGGAGGGAACCAGGTGATAGGGATGCGAGAGGGAGTGATGCTCCTCTGGATGTGTCTCTTCTGATGTAGTTTTGACTTCTGGACACATGTTGCTATTTTACATACTAAAAAAAAAATCAACAGGATGGGGGGGAAAAGCTAAAACTGAATACAAACAAATTCTCCCAAGTGTATTTCAAATGAATAACATAGCTATATTAAAAGGAAAGATTTTTCTTTTTTGGCCGTGCTCTTCTTGGCTTGTGGGATCTCGGTTCCCCGACCAGGGATTGGACCCGGGCCACGGCAGTGAAAGCCTAACCACTAGGCCACCAGGGAACTCCCATAAAGGGAAATTTTTTTTAAAAGCTACCCAAGGGACTTCCCTGGTGGTTCAGTGGTTAAGAATCCATCTTCCAATGCAGGGGATGGGGGTTCGATCCCTGTTTCTGGGAACTAAGATACCATGAGTGGCATGGCCAAAAAAACAAACACAAAACAAAAAAACAATAATGGATTACAGTCCATCGAATAAAATCCACATCCCCGAGTCCACACTGATAATGAATATATAGATAGATGAACAGAGGAGTTCTTCCTGACAGGAGAATGCCAATGAATGAATGTCGGAGGGATCATAGAGGGAGAAGAATCACTGTTTTGTAACCATCAGAGTAATCATTGATTTAGGCAAGAATTATCAATGACTGGTAACATTTTGATAAAAACAGAATATTTACCTAGTTTCAAAGTATCTTCCTACAAGCTGCTTTTTAGTTCCAAAGGGAAAAATAATAACTGTCCACTTGAGAAACTGGCAGTCACCACCTTAACCAAATGCTTAAAGTTAACATCACAGTGAAGGGACAAAACAATAACACTTGCCTCCTGATAAGAAGCACAGAGAGGGCCTGGTAGCCTCCCAATACCACACAGCCCAAATCGCACCCTGAGAAAACATCAGACAAATCCAACCTGAGGACGTTCTGCCAAACACCTGGCCTGCACTCTTCAAAAATGTCCATGTCATGAAAGGCCAAGAAAAGCAGAGGAATGTTCCAGATTAAAGGGAACCAAAGAGACATGAGAACAAATGCCACGTGGGATCCTAGACTGGATCCTGGATCAGAAAAAACATCATGAGGACAATTGGTGAAATTCGAATGAGACCTTAGATAAAATGATGTTATCGTATTAACATTAACATTTCTCATGTTGATGGTTATACTTTGGTTATGTAAGAGTCTATAATAATCATACAGTAATTATGCTGTGGTTATGAAATACAGAGTGAAGTATTTAGGGGCAAAGGGGTAAGCTGTATGCAGACATAGTTACTTAGACATAGTTGATAGCTTACTTAGACACAGTTGATAAAAATATTATTTTTATATATAATAAACACATATGCACCCACAAGTGAGAGGGAGAGAGAGCGAGAGAGAATGAGAAAGCAAATGGAACAAAATATGAACTCTTGGTGAATGTGGGTTAAGGGTACATGGGAGCTTTCTGTACTATTCTTACAGCTTTTTTGTAAGTCTGAAATAATTTCAAATTATAAAGTTAAAAAGAAAGCTACCGCTTCTATCCAACGTTGACTGGAGGGTGTAGCCAGGGCAATTAGGCAACACAACGAAATAAAAGGCGTCCAGGTTGGAAAGGAAGAAGTAAAACTATCTCTATTCTCAGATGACATAATCTTGTAGGTGCAAAATCCTAATAATCTTCTAAAAAATATATTAGAACTAATAAATGAGTTCAGCAAAGTTGCAGGATGAAAGATCATTACACAAAAATCAATCGTACTTCTATACCATAGCAATAAACAATTTCGTTTACAATAGCATTATAAAGAATAAAATACTTAGGAATGAATTTAACAATAGAAATGCAAGACTTGTACACTGTAAACTAGACAATGTCATTGAAAGACAATAAAGAAAACCTGAATAAATGGAAAAATATTTAGTTAGGGTTCTCCAGAGTAACAGAACAGGATACACACACACACACACACACACACACACACACACACACACACACACATGATTTATTTTGAGGAATTAGCTCATGAGATTGTGAGGGCTGGCAAGGTGGCAAGTCTAAAATTTGTAGGGCAGGTCGGCAAGCTGCAACCTCAAGCAGGACTTCTACATTACAGTCTTGAGGCAGAATATCTATTTCTCCTGGAAACCTCAGTTTTTGCTTTTAAGGCCTTCAGTTGAGTGGACAAGACTCACCCACATTATGGAGGGTAATCTTTACTTAAAGTCAACCGATTGTCGGTGTTGACCACACCTACAAAATTCCTTCACAGCAACACTTAGATGAGAGTTTGATTAAATAACTGCAGACTACAGCCTAGCCAAGTTGAAATTAATACACATAAAGTTAATCATTACATCCCATGCTCATGGATGGAAAGAATCTTGTTAAGATGGCAACACTCTCCAATTGATTTACAGATTCAATTCAATCCCTATCAAACCCTTGCTGGCTTTTTTGCAGAAACTGACAAGCTCATCCTAAAATTCATATGGGGCAGACCCGGGAGGACTGCTAAGGGGTATATGGGGGCTTGCTTCAAGGGTGACAGATGAATTATAGGTCAGTAAATCTGTTTAAAAAGAAAAGGAGGGCTTCCCTGGTGGCGCAGTGGTAGAGAGTCCGCCTGCCGATGTAGGGGACACGGGTTCGTGCCCCGGTCCGGGAGGATCCCACGTGCCACGGAGCGGCTGGGCCCGTGAGCCATGGCCGCTGAGCCTGCGCGTCCGGAGCCTGTGCTCCGCAACGGGAGAGGCCACAACAGTGAGAGGCCCGCGTACCAAAAAAAAGAAAAGAAAAGGAAACCAAGGGAATGAAAACCTCCGATTCAGGGCCGCGGTGGCTGGCTGGGGAAGGGGCCAGGTGTAAATGGCCTACAGCCTCAAGTCCTCGTGCTGAGCATCTGCATGTTATTCGCCGCGGGCCCTCCGGATTAAGGACCGTCAGGGGGAGAGTATCCTGAGCCAGGACCGCGAGTCCCCGGCTGGTGTGCGCCCTAAGGATTGGGACACCGGAGGCCGCGCACCGGCGGCAGGTGGCCCCGGGCGCGCCTCCGAGCACCGGGGCGGGGTCTGCGCGTGCCCCGGGTCCTAGGGGGTGTGTGGCGCGGGCGCGCGCGGGTCCCAGGGTTGCGGGAGGCGGCGGTCCGGGGCGGGGGTGGCGGGGGAGAGGCGCGCGCCGCGGACGCGGCCATTGCGCGAGGGGGGTCGGCTCGCTGGGCGGGGACCCGGGCCGCTCACGGGGGCCCGGGCGAAGCACTGGGCCTCTCCCGGCCCCAGGGAGGGGCGGCCGCCGCCCGCGAGCCCTGCCGCTCGGCCCTCCCTGGGCGCCCCCACCCGGCGCGGTGGTACGGTCCGGGTTTAAAAGGCCCTGGCGGCCGCGGGCCGGCCCAGTGTGTGGGCGGCGGCGGCGGCGAGGGGTGTAAGGCGAGGGGTGCGGCGGCGGGGGCGCGCGAGTGGGGCGGTGTGGGGCTCGAGGGCGCGTCCACGTGGCCGGCGGGCGGCCACCCGGAGCCAGCGGCGGCAGAGGGACAGGTAGGTGGCCTCCATCCCCCCGCCGCCTGTGCGGGGCCGGCCTGCTCGGCGGCCCTGGGCTCCGGCAGCGCGGGGATTCGGCTCGGCCTTTAAGGGGTCGGGCCCTGCCCCTGCCTCTCGGGCGCCGGCCTGACTGGTCCTTCGTGCCCGGCGCCGGTAGGGACGGTCCGTCCGCGGCTAGCCCCCGGCCCGACGGGGACCCTTTGTGGCGGAGGAGCGGCCCCTGCAAGGACTGCTGCGGCGCCTCCGTCCACTAGGGTCCTCGTGGATCTGCCGGGGGTGGGGGGGCAATCCCTGGTGGGGGCAGGGCGAGCCGGGCAGGCAGCACCGCGCGGGGCGTTGGGGCGCGGGCGCTAGAGCCGGGTCTCTGCGAGGGTCTGTCCCCACCCTCGGGCTCTGCTGGCAGGGCCGTAGCAGAGAGGCTGGGCGTGCCTGTGATGCCCGAGGCTCCCGGTTACAGGCTGAGGTTTGGGATGGGCACTTGGGCTGCAAATTCTGCCTTTCCAGGTCTCCCTCCCGACCTGTCCCATCCCCATTCTTAGGCCTGTGTTCCTGTGCGGTGTGGAGGAGGTGAGGGTGGCATGAGGCCTCCCTTCTCCGTCTTCCTTTCTTCTCTGGCTCTTACATTAAGGATCCAGGATGCGGACCTGACAAAAGAGCCCCAGAGAGATGATCAGCCTGAGCTGAAACTTTGCAGTTCCAAGCTGGGTCTTCTCCTTGTTCTAGCAAATGCATTTTTTCCCCTTTCCTTGGTTGCTGCCTTGGTTTGGTTCCCCGCACCCTCCCCAAGCTGAGTAACTTGTGTCTCCCTTGGGGCTTGGGCACTGAGAGGGTATCGCTGAGCCCTGCCCCCTTGGCTGCCACGACACTTCTCTGCTGTCTTTGCTGCCTGGAGCTGGCCGAGGGCTGGGTGTGGCCTAGGGGTGAAGACCCAGCCAAGCCTAGTACTGCTCCTGTGGTCCCCCACCCCGTCTCCCCAAAGTCTCAGCTGTATTTCAGAATGCTGCTCCCCTTCCATAGGGCTCCTTGGGCCCCCCTGCATCTCCCCTTCCCCAGCTAACGTGTGGATTTGGAGGGAGAGCCGCACAGGGCTGCCTGGGCATCCGTCTGGCTGTGCCTGAGCAGAGCCTGACTTATGTCTGTCTCTGTGCTTTGCTCTGGGGGCAGGCGACTCGGCTTTGTGTTCCAGCCGGTAGGCTAGATGGCAGGCTCCTCCTGGACAGCCAGCAGACGGAGGCCCCTGGGGCGAGGAGGCAGCCGGGGCCAGGAAGGTGGAAGTGGCAGCCCTGGTTCCCATCTGGTCTCAGGCTTTGATGCCTCAGACCTCTGTCCAGGGGTGGTGTCCTGACACCAATTTGCGATTGTTCTCTCCCTACCTTTTCTCCTTTCCCCAGCTAGGGTGTGAGGCACGTCTGTGGCCTTGGCTTGCCCATGGTTGGGTTGCTCTTGTGTGCGGCTGGCCACCCTCAGCTCTGGAATCTGGTGTTTGGCTTCTCCTTCCTGGAGGGCCCCCCACCCTGCCTTTCCTAGCATCTGGCTCTGCTGCCCCCTTGGGTGTGGCCCAGCTGAGGCGAGGCCTCCTGGCTCCTTTCCAGCAGTGGGTGGGGGATGATTGATGGCCCCCAAGTCTGCCTGTGCTCGCTGCTCACTCGTGCGCCCTGGCGGAGGCCCCTCCTCTCTCCCAGCCGTGGTCGCCATCTGGGGCTCTGGTATGGTGGTGGGCGACTGGCCTCCACCCTCTGTGGCGTGGCTCTCGGCCTGCTGGGGGCCGTAGGCCAGGCAGGGCCGGAGGCGGCTGGGCGCCCTGGGCCGGGGGGCCTCTGACCGGCACTCCCCGTCTCTCCTCAGGCCCACCCCCGGGGCAGCTGCTGGCCATGCCTGCCGTCGGCCTCCTCCTGCTGTTCCTCCTTGCCGTGGGGCGGGCCCTGGGTGGCAGCACGCCCTTCCCTGCCTTCTCAGTGACGGACACTTCGCTCACCCATCTGGCCGTGCACCGGGTGACCGGGGAGGTGTTTGTGGGTGCGGTGAATCGCGTCTTCAAGCTGGCCCCCAACCTGACCGAGCTGCGGGTCCACGTCACGGGGCCCGTCGAGGACAACGCTCGCTGCTACCCACCCCCCAGCATGCGTGTCTGTGCCCACCGCCTGGCGCCTGTGGACAACGTGAACAAGCTGCTGCTCATAGACTACGCAGCCCGCCGCCTGGTGGCCTGCGGCAGCATCTGGCAGGGCATCTGCCAGTTCCTGCGCCTGGACGACCTCTTCAAGCTGGGCGAGCCGCACCACCGCAAGGAGCACTACCTGTCGGGGGCCCAGGAGCCGGACTCCATGGCGGGCGTCATCGTGGAGCAGGGCCAGGGGCCCAGCAAGCTGTTCGTGGGCACCGCCGTGGATGGCAAGTCTGAGTACTTCCCCACCCTGAGCTCCCGAAAGCTCATCGGCGACGAGGACGGTGCCGACATGTTCAGTCTGGTGGGTGAACCCGCCCACCTGCTCGGGCTCTCGCCCGCTGTCCGGCCCCCAACCCCTCCCCTCCCCTCCCCTCCCTTCTCGCCCCTCTGAAGAGCCAGCTCCCGTGCCCTCCTGCCTTCACTCTGTCCTGGCTCTGCCTCTGGAGCCTTTCTGGCCTGGGGTCCTGTGACCACGTGGGTCAGGGGCAGGGAGATTGTGAGGGAAGACCCCCGGGGGCCATGTTGTGGGCGCAGGGCCAGGCTGGGTGGCGGGGGCCCAGGGGCCATGGTTGGGGAGGTCGAGGGTGGACCTAGGCCTCGTCCCAGGCTGTGTCCTCCACCTGCTCCCCAGGTGTACCAGGACGAGTTCGTCTCCTCTCAGATCAAGATCCCCTCAGACACGCTGTCCTTGTACCCAGCCTTCGACATCTACTACGTCTACGGCTTTGTGAGCGCCTCCTTCGTGTACTTCCTGACACTGCAGCTGGATACCCAGCAGACACTGCTGGACACGGCAGGCGAGAAATTCTTCACGTCCAAGATCGTGCGCATGTGCTCGGGGGACTCGGAGTTCTACTCGTACGTGGAGTTCCCCATCGGCTGCTCCTGGCGCGGCGTGGAGTACCGCCTGGTGCAGAGCGCCCACCTGGCCAAGCCCGGCCTGCTGCTGGCCCAGGCCCTGGGTGTGCCGGCCGACGAGGACGTCCTCTTCACCATCTTCTCTCAGGGCCAGAAGAACCGGGCCAGCCCGCCGCGGCAGACCATCCTCTGCCTCTTTACCCTCAGCAGCATCAACGCCCACATCCGGCGCCGCATCCAGTCCTGCTACCGTGGGGAGGGCACGCTGGCCCTGCCTTGGCTGCTGAACAAGGAGCTGCCCTGTATCAACACCGTGAGCCCTCACCCGCCCCCACCCCTGCCCCCGGGCTGGGCCCTCTGCCCCTTCCTGGGTGTGCGGGGCCAGCTCAGGCGGTCGTACGGTAGCTGATGGGCCGCCACGTGTGCCAGCCTGGGCTCGGTCTTGGGAACGACAGCTTAGCCCGGGGTCCCCCGCCCCCGTCCTTCCCTCCCTGCCTCTGCTGCTTGTCTTTCCTCCCCGGCCTGCCTACCCACCACCTCTCTGTGTGGACCAGCTTGCTCTCCCTGCTGCTGCCTGCTCGCCTCCCTCCTCAGCCCCCGATTTCCTGTGGGGTCCTGGGGCAAACAGTTGGTCTTGGCTGCTAAGGAGCGAGCTCCAGATTCTGCTCCCTCCTAGAACGTGGGCTCTCATTGCCTCTGTCCAGCTGGTGCCCCCAAGCTCTTACTCATGCGTCCTCCTCCTGTTTCACCAGCCCATGCAGATAAATGGAAACTTCTGCGGGCTGGTGTTGAACCAGCCGCTGGGCGGCCTGCACGTGATCGAGGGGCTGCCCCTGCTAGCCGACAGTACTGATGGCATGGCCAGTGTGGCCGCCTACCCCTACCAGCAGCACTCTGTGGTCTTCATTGGCACCCGCAGTGGCAGTCTGAAGAAGGTGAGCCCCGGAACGCTCGGCATGTGGGCGTCAGGGCGCACTGAGATGCAGACGAGGGCTGGGGTCAAGAACGTGCGGCTGAGCCCTGCAGCACCTTGGATGGGGCCTGGCCCCTGGGGGAAGGGGGACTTCCCAGGCTGGGACCCAGGAGCCCAGCTGTGCTCCACGGGTGGCCTCTCAGCCACCCATGCTTGCAGTGCCACTGCCCGCCGTGGCCTGAATCGCTGGCTTCCTGTGGCTCTGGGGGCAGACCGGGCCCACCTCCGGTCCTCCCTGCTGGGAGAGCAGGAGCCGTCGTTGCTGGGTCCTCAGTCGAATGAACGAGGAGACAAATGTGGACCTAACCCTCCTTGCCCTCTTGTCCCCTCATGGGCACGGGGGCTGCAGTGCCGGCAGGGCCGCAGCTGCTCCTGTTCCAGGGTGTTCTGAAGGGACAGGAGTCAGGACAACTGCCACATTCCCTTCCTGCTCACCTGGGGGATGCGGGGCTGTCCCTGGGGGAGGTCTGGGGTGGCCGGGGGAATGTTTGTGAAGGGAGCCACCGAGCTTCTGGGGCCTGGTCTGCTTCCCTCCTGGTCCCCGTCTTGCATTTGTCACAGCTTTATTGGGGTGTAAGTGCCGTGTCACAACCCCCCCCCCTTTAAAGCATACATCTCAGTGATTTCAGTAAGTCTGCGGAGTTACTCAAGCATAACCGCTATCTCATTCCAGGATGTTGCCATGATCCTAAAAATCCCTTCCCTTTTAGCTTTCACACTTTCCCTGTCCCCCAACTCTAGGCAACGCTCATCTCTGTCTCTGTGTCCTGGGAGCCTTTTTGGATTGGCTGTGTCACACCCAAGGGCCTCCAGGGGGCAGCCTTGGCGTCCTCCTTCCCTGGTCTGTGAGAAGGGGGGCGGCGGGCAGGCTGGGTCCCTGGCTCGAGAATAGGACGCCTGGGCGCGTGGGGTGCTGCTGTGGCGTCAGGTGGCTGGTCTCGTGGCCCAGGTACGGGTCGACGGCTCTCAGGAGGCCCACCTGTATGAGACGGTGCCTGTGGTGGACGGCAGCCCCATACTGCGCGACCTGCTCTTCAGCCCCGACCACCGGCACGTCTACCTCCTGAGCGAGAAGCAGGTGGGCCCGGCAGGCGGTGCGGCAGGGGTGGGACAGGGGTGGGGCGGGTGCTGACACGGCTGCCCCCAGGTGAGCCAGCTCCCGGTGGAGACCTGCGAGCAGTACCCAAGCTGCGCCGCCTGCCTGGGCTCGGGGGACCCGCACTGTGGGTGGTGCGTGCTGCGGCACAGGTAAGGAGCCGCCCAAGTGCCCACTCCCCCGAGCTGTGCCCCTGTGGCCTCCCCTCCCTGCCCTTCTACTTTGTCCAGCTAGCGAGTGGAACCTCTACCCCGAGTGACATCCCTCGGACCCCGGGGAATGAGGCCGAGGCATGCGGTTGCCTGGTGCCGTGGGCTGGGCCGGCTGTCCCCTCCATCCCCCCCAGGCCCCCGCTGCACTCCCGCTCCGGGCCTTGCTGGGGCAGCGGTGGGATGGGCCTGGCCTGACCCCGCACAGATGCTGCCGCCGAGGGGCCTGTCCAGGCGCCTCGGCCCCGCGTGGCTTCGCCAAGGAGCTGAGCAAGTGTGTCCAGGTGCGGGTCCGGCCCAACAATGTGTCGGTGACATCGCCTGGGGTGCAGGTGAGTGGTGCGGAGCGTGCGGGTGTAGAGGCCCGTGCATACGTGTTGGGGGCGTTCCCAGCTCTGGGCCCTCTGCTTCCCCCAGCTGACCGTGGCCATAAGCAACGTGCCGGACCTCAGTGCGGGCGTGAGCTGTGCCTTTGAGGAGGTGACCGAGAGCGAGGCCGTCCTGCTGCCCTCTGGAGAGTTACACTGTTCCTCGCCTTCCCTGCAGGAGCTCCGGGCTCTCACCCGGGGGCATGGTCAGTGGCTGGGCCGCGGGGGGCAGGGCTGCTCTCCGTCCACGGCTCACGTGTGGCTCCCCTGGGCTCGCTGCAGGGGCCGCGCGCACCGTGCAGCTGCAGCTGCTCTCCAAGGAGAGCGGCGTGAGCTTTGCTGGGGCTGACTTCGTCTTCTACAACTGCAGCGCCCTCCAGTCGTGAGTACTGGCCCCCTCCCCGACCCCTGTTCCCGCGTCTCTGTTGCTCGCGGTGTCGTGTAGGCCTCAGGCGGGCCCCGGTGCCTTTTGCCTTTGGTTCCCCGTGTGTCCCGCAGGTGGGACGGTGAGGGGCCAGGCCCGGTCTGCTCCGTGATTTCTGAAGCCTCTCCCCTCTAGGTGCATGTCCTGCGTCGGCAGCCCTTACCCCTGCCACTGGTGTAAGTACCGCCACGTGTGTACCAGCCACCCCCACGAGTGCTCCTTCCAGGAGGGCAGGGTCCACAGCCCCGAGGTGAGGCGGGCGCCACACGCGAGGGGGCTGGGCTCTGCGCCGGCCGGCCCCGGGCTTTTCTGCCTTCGGTCTTGGGGTTTTCTTGGAGCCCCCTTAACCGGGGGCCAGCCCAGCTGGCTGATGGGCGTTCTCCTCTCAGGGCTGCCCTGAGATCCTGCCCAGTGGGGACCTCCTGATCCCAGCAGGCGTCATGCAGCCTCTCACCCTGCGGGCCAAGAACCTGCCGCAGCCCCAGTCGGGCCAGAAGAACTACGAGTGTGTGGTCCGGGTGCAGGGGCGGCAGCAGCGGGTGCCCGCCGTCCGCTTCAACAGCAGCAGCGTGCAATGCCAGAACGCCTCGGTGAGGCCCACCCACCCCGCCTCCCTCGGGGGTCCAGGCTGTGCGGGGCTGGGCGTGGTGCAGATCTGTGCCCAGCAGACTCTTCTAGAAGCCTCAGCTGACAGTGGCCAGGGACCTTCTGAGTGTGCTGCTGGGGATTTCTGAGCTGGGGGAGGGGCGGTCTGTGCACCTTCACTGGGGTCACGCGGGTCCCTCTCCCCCAGTACTCCTATGAAGGCGATGAGTATGGTGACACCGAGCTGGACTTCTCCGTGGTCTGGGATGGAGATTTCCCCATCGACAAGCCCGCTACCTTCCGAGGTGACCGGCGGGATGGGACCGAGGAGCTCGCCTCCTGGGGCGGAGAAGGCACGTGCTGGGGCCGGGCCCACAGGGGGACCCTTCGTCGGGGCCCGTAGCTGCTCCCCAGCGGCGCCTTCTGTGCCCACAGCCCTCCTGTACAAGTGCTGGGCGCAGCGGCCCAGCTGTGGCCTCTGCCTCAAGGCTGACCCTCGCTTCAACTGTGGCTGGTGCATCTCGGAGCATAGGTGCCAGCTGCGGGCCCACTGCCCGGCCCCCAAGACCAACTGGATGCACCCAAACCAGAAGGGCGCTCGCTGCAGCCACCCCCGCATTGCCCAGGTCGGCCTCCCCACCACCCGCCGCCCTCTGGGTACCCACTGCCTCGGCTCACCCTCCCGCCTCCCCTCCTGCTCCGCAGATCCACCCGCTCATGGGGCCCAAGGAGGGAGGCACCCGGATCACCATCGTGGGCGAGAACCTGGGCCTCACCTCCCGAGACGTGGGCCTGCGGGTGGCTGGCGTGCGCTGCAACTCCATCCCCGCCGAGTACGTCAGTGCCGAGAGGTGAGTGCAGCTGCGCGGGCGCTGGGCCTCCCCGCAGCCTGTGGCCAGGCGCCCGGGCCTGACCTCCGACCTGACCCGACCCCTAGGGTCGTGTGTGAGATGGAGGAGTCGCTGGTGCCCAGCCCGCCACCAGGGCCTGCGGAGCTCTGCGTCAGCGACTGCTCGGCTGACTTCCGCACGCAGTCTGAGCAGCTCTACAGTTTCGTGGTACGTGGGCTGCCCGCCCCCTTCCCTCTCCCACTCCTTCCTGGCGGGGGCTGTGGCCTGGCCCTGTTGGGCGCCCGCCGTCTCCCCACTCCCCTCAGGGCTGCTTCTCCCGTAGACGCCCACGTTCGACCGCGTGAGTCCCAGTCGGGGCCCAGCCTCGGGGGGCACGCGGATCACCATTTCCGGTCATTCTCTGGACGCCGGCAGCAGAGTCACAGTGACCGTGAGAGATGGCGAGTGCCAGTTCGTGAGGTGAGTGTTGCAGGTGGGGGCCATGGGGCCGGCAGGTGGCAGCCCTGGGCAGCCTGCTCCAAGTCCCCGCTTGCTGACATAGGAGGGATGCTGAAGCGATCGTGTGCATCTCGCCTGTCTCCACCCTGGGTCCGAGCCAGGCCTCCATCACCCTGGCCATCGACCGCGCCAACATCTCCAGTCCCGGTGTCCTCTACACCTACACCCAGGACCCCACCGTCACTCGCCTCGAGCCCACCTGGAGCATCATCAAGTAAGGCCCTCGGGAGAATGGGGCCTGGCTGGCAGAGGGGAGGCTGGGGGCCAGGTCCTTGAGTGCCCGGCCTGGGCCTCGCCTGGTGACCAGGTGACCTAGGGTTGGGGAGACCCTGGGCTCCCATGGCAGCCTCGATAACGCTCCAGGGCTGGGCTCAGGGTGGTGGGGAGGAAGCCTGAGGCCCCTCACCCCCATACCTAGTGGAAGCACCTCCATCACCGTGAGTGGGACCCACCTGCTGACGGTCCAGGAGCCCCGGGTCCGGGCCAAGTACCGAGGCATCGAGACCACCAACGTGAGTGCCAGCTGCCGCCATCCCACCCCTGACCCTCTGCCCGCTGTGGCCTCACGTGCTGGGCTGCCCACCTTTGTCCCCACAGACGTGCCAGGTGATCAATGACACCGCCATGCTGTGTAAGGCCCCTGGCATCTTCCTGGGGCGGCCCCAGCCGCAGGCCCAGGGTGAGCACCCTGACGAGTTCGGCTTCCTGCTGGACCACGTGCAGACGGCCCGTTCCCTCAACCGGTCCTCCTTCACCTACTACCCCGACCCCAGCTTCGAGCCACTGGGGCCCTCTGGGGTCCTGGATGTGAAACCTGGCTCCCACGTAGTGCTGAAGGTGCCAGTGTGGTGGGCGCCTAGGGCGGGAGGGGCGGGGCGGTGGGGAGCCCTGGCCAGCAGCGCTCTCCATCTGCAGGGCAAGAATCTGATCCCTGCGGCGGCCGGCAGCTCCCGCCTCAACTACACGGTGCTGATCGGGGGCCAGCCGTGCACGCTCACTGTCTCGGACACGCAACTCCTGTGTGACTCCCCCAGCCAGACGGGCCGGCAGCCGGTCATGGTGGGTAGGGGGCAGGGAGGCTGCCAGAGCAGCCTGGGGCGGGGGTGCGGGTCAGCTTACGGCGCCTGTCTCTGCAGGTGCTCGTGGGCGGCCTGGAGTTCTGGCTGGGCACCCTGCACATCACGGCTGACCGGGCGCTGAGCCTGCCGGCCGTGGTGGGGCTGGCGGCGGGGGGCGCGCTTCTGCTGCTGGCCATCACCGCCGTGCTGGTCGCCTACAAACGCAAGACTCAGGATGCCGACCGCACGCTCAGGCGCCTCCAGCTCCAGATGGACAACTTGGAGTCCCGGGTGGCCCTGGAATGCAAGGAAGGTGCCTGCATGAGGGTGGGGGGTGGGGCAGGTGGCAGGGGCTCCCTCCTCCCTCTCTGCTCACCGTCTCTCACCGGCCCTCCCCAGCCTTCGCTGAGCTGCAGACAGACATCAACGAGCTGACAAACCACATGGATGGCGTGCAGATCCCCTTCCTGGACTACCGGACCTACGCCGTGCGTGTGCTCTTCCCGGGCATCGAGGCCCACCCAGTGCTCAAGGAGCTGGATGTGAGTGCCCCCTGTTGCCTGCCCATGCCCTGTCGCCCCCAGGGCCACCTCCACCGTCTGAGATGCCCTGTCCCCCCCCGCCCCCAGACACCCCCCAATGTCGAGAAGGCCCTGCGTCTCTTCGGGCAGCTGCTACACAGCCGCGCCTTCGTGCTCACCTTTATCCACACTCTGGAGGCTCAGAGCAGCTTCTCCATGCGCGACCGTGGCACTGTGGCCTCGCTCACTATGGTGGCCCTGCAGAGCCGCCTCGATTATGCCACGGGGCTGCTCAAGCAACTGCTGGCGGACCTCATCGAGAAGAACCTCGAGAGCAAGAACCACCCAAAGCTGCTCCTGCGCAGGTACTTGGGTCCCCCTCCGCCAGCCCTGCCCCTCCCCTGGGAAGTCCAGCCCTGCCCGGCCGGGGCCCCAGCACCCCTTTCACCCTAGGACCGAGTCCGTGGCTGAGAAGATGCTCACCAACTGGTTCACCTTCCTGCTGCATAAGTTTCTGAAGGTGCGTGCACTCGAAGGGCAGGCGGGGGGCGAGGGGATGTGAGGAAGCAGTCGGCCGCAGGCGGGCGGCAAGCTGTGTCCCGGCCCTGGCTGCAGGAGTGCGCCGGGGAGCCGCTTTTCCTGCTCTACTGCGCCATCAAGCAGCAGATGGAGAAGGGCCCCATCGACGCCATCACAGGCGAGGCCCGCTACTCCCTGAGCGAGGACAAGCTCATCCGGCAGCAGATCGACTACAAGACGCTGGTGAGCGGGGGTCCAGGTGCGCAGGGTATCGGGCCTGAGGGGAAGCCTCACCCAGGACCCACCCTGTGGTCCCCCTCGCCCTCAGACCCTGCACTGTGTGTGCCCGGAGAGCGAGGGCAGCGCTCAGGTCCCGGTGAAGGTTCTCAATTGTGACAGTATCACCCAGGCCAAAGACAAGCTGCTAGATGCTGTGTACAAGGGCATCCCCTACTCTCAGCGTCCCAGAGCTGAGGACATGGACCTAGGTGAGGCCCCTGCCCTCTCCTCCTGGGCCCCCCCACCTCCTGTGGCCACGTTACCTTGGCTGGCGTTCACTCTCCCCACCTGAGCTCTGTCCTCTGAGGGCAGTGGGCCCAGGGTCCCAGGGCTCGTGGAGCAGGACCTCAGAGCTGCCTGTGGCCCGCAGAGTGGCGCCAGGGCCGCATGGCCCGCATCATTCTCCAGGACGAGGATGTCACCACCAAAACTGAGTGTGACTGGAAGAGGGTCAACTCACTGGCCCACTACCAGGTGAGGAGCCGGAGGTCCCCTCACGCCCAGGGCCCTTGTGAGCCATGGCCCTGCCCTGAGGCCACAGGAGTAGGGGTCCCGGCCCCTCCCCTCTCTGGCCCCCGCGCCACAGGCCCCCCTTGGGTAGCCGCCCCACACGTGCCCTGCCGGGCCAGGGTAGGCGGTGGCTCAGGCCCCTTGGCTTCTCGGCCTCCTGCATTGCCCCCTCCTCTGTCTCTGGGATTTGCAGGTGACAGATGGTTCCTTGGTGGCACTGGTGCCCAAACAAGTGTCAGCCTACAATATGGCCAACTCCTTCACCTTCACCCGCTCTCTCAGCCGTTATGGTAGGCGTCCTCGGTGTGGGGTCTCTGCTGGCCCCGTGCCCTGCAAGGCTGTGTCGGCCATCGTGGGGAACCCCCAGCCCCACCCCGTCTGAGCAGCCAGCCTGGCTCTGGCGGCCCCCCTGGACCCTGCTCTCAGGAGGTCTCTAGTTCCTTAGAGCCTAGAAGTGCAGTGGGCCCGTGAGAGCAGACGGGCCCCCTCGGCCTGCAGGGCTCCCGGGATGGAGGGGAGCGAGAGCCACGGCGATGGCTGGTGTGGCCCCACTGGCCTAAGGGGCACACCACCCTCTGCCCCAGAGAGCTTGCTCCGCACGGCCAGCAGCCCTGACAGCCTCCGCTCTCGGGCACCCATGATCACGCCCGACCAGGAGACGGGCACCAAGCTGTGGCACCTGGTGAAGAACCACGACCACGCCGACCACCGAGAGGGAGACCGAGGCAGCAAGATGGTCTCGGAGATCTACCTGACGCGGCTGCTGGCCACCAAGGTGTGGGCCTGCCCTGCGCCACCCTGGCCTTAGTGCACGTGCCTTGTAGCCTGGCCTTGGCCCTGGGGTTGGCCTGGGCTGCCTGGGGAAGGGGCCACTGGATTGTTCCAATCCCAAGGGACTTGCTCAACGCTTTTGCCACGGGAACTGCCACCCTGAGGTCGAGGCCAAGCTTGTCTGAGGGGTGGTGGCTGAGCAGGGAAGCCCTGCTCGTTGTCAAGCCTCTCCGTCCCCATCTGTCCTGCCGTGGGGACGTCCCGCCCTGGCTCCCCGTCAGCTGGTGTCCTTGCTGCGCCCCTGCAGGGCACACTGCAGAAGTTTGTGGACGACCTCTTCGAGACCGTGTTCAGCACGGCGCACCGGGGCTCGGCCCTGCCCCTGGCCATCAAGTACATGTTCGACTTCCTGGACGAGCAGGCCGACCAGCGGCAGATCGGCGATCCCGACGTGCGCCACACCTGGAAGAGCAACTGGTACTGCCGTGCACCGGCCCACGGGCGGGGGTGTGAGGAGGCTTGGCTGGGGCTCAGGGACCACGGTCAGGATGCCGGCGGGGGCTTGGCTGGTCACCCTGGCAGGAGAGGACAGCGGCCTGGCACTGATGGTGCCGCCGAGCACAGAGAGCAAGTGCGTGTGATTCCGCAGGCGGGCTCTGCCAGGGCTTTGGGCGTCTGGGATGTGGGTAGTGTGGCCAGCGCCCAGAGGTGTCCTTGGCCCTGCTGCTCACCTGGTGATACCGCTGACACAGGGCAGAGGTAACCAGAAGCCCGGTCCCGGGGTTAGCCGTGCGAGGGGGGCGCGTTGAAACTCACTGAGGACGGAAGACCGTCCACTCTGACTTCTCACTGCTTGAAGTCAGGCAGAAAATTGAAGAAGAGGCTGCTAGCTCTCAGTGTGTCACTCTCGCCACCTGTGGGCCTGCGGAGGTGAGCGCGGATGGGAGGGTGTGTGCAGGGAGATCGCGGAGCTGCGGGCCTTTGTCCCTCTGTCCAGCCTGCCCCTGCGCTTCTGGGTGAACGTGATCAAGAACCCACAGTTCGTCTTCGACATCCACAAGAGCAGCATCACGGACGCCTGCCTGTCGGTGGTGGCCCAGACCTTCATGGACTCCTGCTCGACGTCCGAGCACCGCCTGGGCAAGGACTCGCCCTCCAACAAGCTGCTCTATGCCAAGGACATCCCCAGCTACAAGAGCTGGGTGGAGAGGTGGGCCCCAGTGTGTGGGGAGGCGGGGCTGGGACCCCAGGGGACGCGGCTGCTGGGCGAGGGAAGAAGGCCCGGAGGCTGGCCTGGCAGCCGGGGCAGGGGTTTTGGTTTCTGTGGTGCCTGCTGGCACGACCTCCTCGGGGCCCCAACAGGTACTACCGGGACATCGCCAAGATGGCGTCCATCAGTGACCAGGACATGGACGCGTACCTGGTGGAGCAGTCCCGTCTCCATGCCAGTGACTTCAACGTCCTGAGCGCGCTCAGTGAGCTCTATTTCTACGTTACCAAGTACCGCCAGGAGGTGCGTGCCACCCCCTCGGGCCCCTGCTCTTTGGCTCTGAGGGTACAGCTGGTGGCAAAGGCAGGGGCGTGGTGGGGGTCAGCGAGCCCAGCTCTTGGACTCCTCACAGTTCCTCCCCCAACCAGGCCCTTAAGGTGGCACAGGTGACACGCTCTGTAGATGCTGGGATTTGAGGGGCCCAGTAGAGAAGCCACTGGCTGGAGCGCAAAGTTCTGGTCCGGCAGAAGTTAGGGGCTGGGAGCACACGGAGGGCTGGGTTGACGGGCTGGGGCCAAAGGTAGGCGCGGTCAGCGCACCTGCCCGGTTTGTGGCTGGAGAGTCAGGGAAGACAGATGCGCCGGCTCCAGGGTTGGATTCCTGGCTGGAGATGAGAATGGGTGGGCCCGGATAGGGCCCTGAGCCTGGATGAGCTCCCCAAGGCGGGGGCCATGGGCAGCTGGAGAGGGAGACGTGGCCCAAGAACTTGAGTGGCCCTGGGACATTCAAGAGGTGGCAGAGAAGAGGGGGGACCGGCTGCAGAGTCTGAGGAGGCTCGGGAGGGGCCCCCGAGTGCCAGACGGGTCCTGGAACACGCGTGAGGACCCCCCCCCCCAACCCCTGCCCTGGGCGTCAGGGAGGAGGGAGCGATGGGCTCTGTCGGGTGCTGCCCACGGTCACGGAAGGTGAGGCCCGAGATCGCGGAGACCTGGGTGAGAGAGGTCTGGGGTGGGGTGGGGTGGGGGTTAGGAGGGACGGGAAAGGGGGGCCTCCAGTCCAGACCACCCTGTGGGAGGGGCTGTGTGCTGGCTGTTGGAAGGCGGGAAGAGGTTGTGCAGTCGGAGGAGGGGTTGGGGTCAAGGAGGAGCTGCAGGCCCTTTCGGAGGCCAGATGCTGGGCCCCTCCCACGTGGGAGGGGCGGGGGGGCATCGGGGGTGGGGCTTGGCCAGGAGGAGCCCGCCCCTCAAGAGCCCGGCTCTGGGCCTCTTCCTGCAGGTTCTCACCGCTCTGGACCGAGATGCCTCTTGCCGGAAGCAGAAGCTGCGCCAGAAGTTGGAACATATCATCGGCCTCGCATCCAGCAACAGCTAAGGGAGGTGGACCCCGTGAGGAGGGGGCTTCTCAGTCCTGAGCCGTACTCCCGTGCAGAGGGGCGTCTCCCGCCTGGGTCCCGGGGCTGAGCCCTGGATCGGGTGGCATGAGGTCACCGGGCCAAGATGCCCCTGGCACAGCCGGGCCCCCGTCATTAGTGCCTTGCTTTGGGCCCTGCGTGGGGAGGGGGTGACCGGACCAAGCCCCCCACCCCGGCAGCAGCAATACCCCCGCCCTCCTGCCCTCGTGCCGGGGGTTGTGGTTGCCCCTGCCCTCCTTGCTATTTATACCCCAACCACCTATTTATTTAATTTATCTCCACCTCACCGTCGTCTCCATCTG